TGTGCTGTACTATTAAGTGAAATGAAGCATTGGTTCAAATATTGTTGATCTTTGCTTATCAGTAGGAATGTGAATGGCTTTAATTATGTGTGCATTACTTGCAGGGAAGTTTTTTTTACATGTATAAGAGGCTAAATTGAAGTGATGTTCTGGCATTTCTTTTGAATTTTTTTCGTTGTAAATGGGGTTTGAACCCCCGATTTACAGCTCAAAGAGTGATTTAATCCCTTTTGGTGGCTACTGAACCAAACTCAGTGGTTGAGGGGGGTGGTTGTTATGGTTTTCTGGTTTACTGTCACACTAGCAATAGCTCGATTTGAGTAGACACTCTATTGAAGAAAGCCAATTAAGGCCGTCACATATAGTGACAACTTTGGTGGGAGGCAAGCCAATTAAGGCCATCACATATAGTGACAATTTTGGTGGGAGGTAAGAGTTGAACTCTTGACCTCCCACACCACCAAGACTTAAATCTTTGGTTGTGACCACCAGGCCAAAGGCCTAGTGGCTAGTGAAAACTCTACAATCAGTGATGTTTTTTTTTTCGACACTCAGTAATAGTCTATTCTACATCTACTCCTACTCTTGAAGGACCCAACTGGACCTATGAAGGGGTCGACGGGGACTGAATTATCATTAGATCAGATGGGTGCACTACACACCCATCTAGATTTGGAGAGTTACAACTGTGGCCATTAGTGGGAAGTAAGGTTTGAACCCTTGTCTCCTACCCCACCAAGTTTTAAAGGTTCGACGGTGGTCACCAGCCCAAATCACTTCCTGGAAAAGCGAGTTTTAGAGGTGGGCTCCATTTGCTGAGGTGATTGTACAGTCTTCTGCTACCTATGAACATGTTTATCCATTACTTTTCAAAAACCTCGCTGCTGTTTGCCAATTTTTTACTGATTTTTGTGCTTAAATGTAAAAATGAGATTCTCTTTAGGTGGTACCGAAGTACTCTTGTGCTTGATTTTTAATAATGCTTTACATTTTTCTGTTCATTTTCTTTTAGATTTCTCTGTTAAATCAATCTAATTTTTTGGTGCTGGTATGTGGTAACTATCAACTGAGAATGACAGCGATTGAGTTTGATTTTATGCCTTTAGAATGAGACGTTTAGTTGGCTGCATGACGATTTATAGTAATTTCTCTTACGGCAACTACTGGTCAATGCCAAACTTTCTTCAGCCCAGCAGTGCGGGAGGAGTTCTAGTTGTGATCCTTCTTAAAGTGTTCACTCATATAGGAACTTGCAACCTCTAAACTCTTGGTATTTTCTTGTCAATAATCCTCCTTGTAGATTCTTTAACGAGAAAAGTTGAGAAGAGACAACAGATATGAAGGTATCATGCATTATAGCATATTATCACTGCCATATATAAAACTGCAAATGTATTATTAAAACAAAGGGTAAAATACAGAAAAATCCCCCGTGGTTAAGTGAATTTACAGAAAAGTCCCTCATAGTTTCAAAACATATATCCCGATATCTCGTGATTTGAACTAATTTTAAAAAAATGACGGAAATCGTTTTAATTAACAGGTTTGAGATACACGCGTATCTTTTACAAGTATTTGTATTGGAAACAAATAAATTTTTAGTTGATATATCCATTATACTCTTAGAGTTTAATAAAAGAGTAAAATGCAAAAAAGCTCCCCTATGATTAAGCAAACCAATAGAAAAATCCTCTTATAGTTACAAATCATATCCGATATCTTGTAGTTTGAATTAATGTGAAAAATCGACGAGAATCACTTAAATTAACGAGTTTGAGATAAATGTGCCTATATTGCAAGTGCTTGACCTGGAAAATAATTTTTAAATCAAATTTTTTGTTGATATATTTATTAAACCCGTTACAACTCATAAAATTCTCAAAAATAATCCAAAACTTCCATATACAACTTACCTTATTTCTATACAGAAAATAAATGAACCAAAACTCCCAAATACAATTCACATTATTTCTATACACAAATAAATGAATAAAAACTCTCAAATAAACTCACCTTATTTCAATGAACGAAATAAATGAATAAAAACTTTCAAATATAATTCACCTTATTTCTATACACAAAATAAATAAATAAACATAAAATACCACCTTTATCTCTTTCTTGACCACCACCCCTACCTCTTGCCACAACCACTCTCTACCTTCCAGCACCACTCTCCCCTCCATTACGACCCTTCCCTATCCCAATGTCGTTAAATTTAGACTGGATACCGACTTGACTAAATTACTGAATCAGGGGTCAACTGATCGGATTGGTCGGACCGTTCTCAAAAACCCACTGATGTCAGCATGATGTTATAATTATTTTATATTTTTATAAGTTTCAAAAATATTGAAATTAAGTTCTTGGTTATATTTGACCAATCTGAACAATGTTCCAAAAATATTAGATTTGCAATCAAATATACACTTAATAATTATATATAAAAATGTAAATTCATGGTTAAAATATGTCCATTCTCCAAAACTAACTAAATTAAAACAAATTGATGCAAGTTAAAATCACTGATGCTAAATTAATGAGATCATAGGGATGAAAATATTTTGACTTAGAGATCATTTAGGAAAGCGAGTGATTTTGATATTTACATAATTTTGATATTTACAGTAAATGGGTAAAAGTATTATAATTTAGGTAACTCAAATTATGTTTGGGGAAAAGAAGAAAGAAAGGTTTGAGAACCAAATCAACCAATCGAATCTAGTCACCGGTTTAGCCAATTTTTTATGGTTTTGACTGATTTTTTACCAAAGCAATTTTATACTACAAACTAGTTCGGAAGGAAGACCAGTTCACGGTCGAACCGGTCAGTCCGGTTCGGGTGTAACAACACTGCCCTCTCCTTCTTTCTCCTTGCACTTCCAGTCCTACCCCACCCCTCTCCTCCCCTCCCTTACATCTGCCTCTCTCTCCTCCCATCACGGCCATTTTCCTACACCATTTCTCCTTCTAACGACCATGGCTAGTCATCGAAGAGAGGGAAGGGAGTGAGGGGATGGGGTCACAACCAGATCACCCCTTCCCCCACTCCTCTACCCTTTCTCCTACGACAAATCTGGTCACCAAGGAGGTGAGGAGGTGCGAGAAAAGGGCAGGAAATGGAGGGAAGGGGGTGCATGGGATGGAAAGGAGAAGGAAGAGGAGAAGGGGAAGGGAGAGGAGAAGAAAGGAGAGAGACGGGAGTTGTGATAGAGGGGAGGGTGGTGATAGAAGTTGGAGAATGGTGATGGCAGTAAAGGTAACTATAATGGGGCCTTTTCGTAGGTTGGTTAACCCACAAGAAGATTTTTTGTGAATTTGCTTAATCATGATAGTTGTTAGAAAGTCATTTTTAGCTTATATATATTAAGGTAATTGTGTTATTTTATTCGCATTCTTGAGTTTTGATGATTTTCATTACTATTTCAAATTAGTTCAAACCACGGGAGGCAGAAATGTATGATTTAAAATCATAAGAAATTTTTTCATAAGTTAGCTTAACCACAAGGGTCTTTTGTATACTTGACCCTTAAAACAAAATAAAACCAAAAAAGTTTAAGGTGATGCAAGAGAATGGAGACAAGTACAAGTAAATTACTAACAATACTAGGTTAATTTTCACGGAATCATAAGAACACTATTGAAAATTTTCATGGGCATTGTCGAACAAGGGAACAATAGCGTACTATGATACAATATGATAGTAACTCAGAATTTTTAAGGGCTAATTACAAATTGTCCTTTGGACAGTTACATGTTTCTCAGTTTGCCCCCTTCATTGTTGTAATGAATCTGCCCCTTAGGCATTTCAGTGTTTTGAGTTTGATGGCATTTCATTATGTGAGAAGCATATGTTGTAGGAAAGGACATATGCCCTTTAATTGTTTGTGGATCAAACATGTAGCCAAAATACAAATTTATTGTGGGTAATTAGTCGTCTTATTTTCCCAAGTCATTGATCTTATGGAGGTTATATCTTTTCCTTGTAACATATGATGAAATTGTGTTAAATGTAAGGTTGTATTGGTTGATTGTATCACACTGGGAAAATTATAAAAGACTAAGGGAGGATTTTGGAAGCGAAGTAAGATTTACGTACATTTATTAGGGCAGTTAACCCTTTTTTTTGATATTGAATGCATGATATAAAAAAAAGAAAAAGAAAAAAGAAGCAATATAATGTTTCTAATCAATCAACTCATGTATTTCTCTTTTAAACGGAAACTGATCAAGTATATAAACTTCTACAGCTATATCGAATACTCGATATGGTTATGTATAAAACATCTTCATTCAAATCTACGAATTCACTAGTTTTAACATTAGAGCACAAGGTTAATATATATATAGCCGGATACCCAAAAGTCATAAAAGGAAACTGTGACGCAGTTTTGTTTTCTAATTTTTGTACATAATTGAAAATCTAGTTATGTTTAATAACTCAATTCAGCACTTAAACTTAATGAATTCAGATCTTAACTTGTTCAGATGCGTTTGATAATAAAAAAAATTGAATATTTGAATTAATTAAATGATACTGAATTTGCTAGACAAAATTTACTTTCAAAAATAAGTAATGGAACTATTCACTTATTACTTAATATAATATACACTCTATTAGTGCAAAATACACCACTCGTCGGAAAATTTGGGACGCCGATTAATTGTTTAACGGGGCATCTGTTGGTGCAAAATACACCACTTGTCTGCAAATAAATAATTGGCTGTATCGCAAACTTAATTAATCAGCATCAGGAAAAGCTATTATTGGATAGATTGTAAGTTTTTTTGGCCTATGGAAATATCTAAAACCTAAACTCAAAACTGAGTAAGAACATAAAAAATTCAATTTTTTAAAATCAAAATCTAAAATTAGGTGAAATGATTACTCCAAAAACAGATTAACTAAGGCAAATTAATTTAATAGAACGGTAACACCTCTTTTTCTTCTTCTTCTTTTCTGTTTTTACTAAATAGTGACCCCGATCTGAGAAAACTGGTGGAAGCAAAAAAGGCGTTCAGCGTGAAAAGTTAATAATTTTTATTAATATTATGATCAAATAATAGAAATTTAATACGCTAAATTGTATTTTGATAAATTGGTTTCCAGTTTGACTACTATTCAACACATAACACGTCTCTTTTGCTGGTAAACATCTATGGAGTAAGAAGTCTTCTCCACATGAAAAGTAACATTATGCTACAATTGTAGCATAACCCGTTTTAACTTGTTCAGGTGTCAAAATCGACTTGCTTTAGAAGAAGGAAATGTGAATCAGCAACTTCTACGAAATGGTTTGACGGTCACAAATCTGGGCGGCAGATGTAAATTGCAAACAGCAACCAATATCTCAACCACCACATGAACCTTCACCTGGATCAGCGGGTACATAATCCACTTTGTAATTTTGACACCCGACATGCTTAAGTCCTCTCCTTTTCATCTGCTCTTTGTAAGGCTTGGAGTCTCCTTTAAGTAATAATAATAAAAAAAAAAGTATCAATAAGTTTCTAAAACGTGTTCTATTTTAGTCATTCTATTATTGTACCAGAACTAGCTCAAAGAGATCGCTGCACTTTTCTTTTTTTTTTTTTGGAAAATAGTGCATTTCAATCTAAGATAACTGTTGGAAAAATATTCAATGAGCAAGCTAAAATTTTTTAATAATTTTGTTAACTCCTATACACTAATAAATTAATTTTTCAACCTTGGAAAGCTTAGCTGTGAGTGCATTTAGTAATCTTCTGTCCTTTTCTTTTTAGCAATAAATATCAGTAATCTTTAAACGTGATAGATGGAATTTTTAGAGCTAAGAAGTTGGACTTACTTGTCGCCAGGATCTTTCTTGCTGCTGAAGGTACGACGGGTTGAGTTGAGAGTAAGAAGAGAAAGAAGAGGACAGTGATCAGAGCCTTGCTGTTGCTAGCCATTGTATATTATAGAGAGGGTTATAAGAACTTTAGGATCAGTTCTATTCTAATATTCCTTTCTTGATGACTGTTTCAATGTAACGAACCATATGCTCTTTTATAGCCGTTTATGATCGGACCCAGTTTGCCCACCATATTGACAAATACCCGGGATAGGTTGGCGGTCCAAATGGGCTAAGCTAATTTGGTTCGTTCTATTTGGATAGTCAACTTTGAACAACTTCGAATTGAATCGAGTGGCTCTGAATCGGGTCAAGCTAACGTCTAATACGGAAGGTGAACCACCCTCAGGTTTGGACTTTGAATTGGACAATTAGATGATGACTTTGTCCAGATTTATGCGATTGTTATAAAAGAAGAGGGTACTGTGAAGAGCGATTCATACAAAGTAATGTGGCCACTGTAAATTACGGCAAAAAAAATAAAAAGTAGGATTTAGCTTTCGGTAATTTGTGTCTTCCCATGCATTTCATGAAATATACTATCAAAAAGCTTTGCATGATCCGTCTCCAGAATTCATAGAACTATGACATAATTTGCTCGGCCTAGAGGTTCATTGCCATTTAGGAATCAGGTGATGGGTGCCTCTTCTCCAAGAGGTACCCCAGTCACCTTTCTCTCTCTCTCTCTCTCCCTCTTTTAAGAGGATGAATAGTGATTTCTCACTTATTATCAAGTCACCTTTCTTTGTAGATTCAGTAGGAAAACTCAGCCATAGAAGATAAAATGTTCAATGTCACTTAAACAATTCATTGCTTTAAATTTCTGGGCCCATGCGAATAGACATCAAGGCTCTTAGAAGACGGGACAGAACAAGAAGACCTCTGAAATCTTCCCTATATTATAAAGTTGGGATAAGCAGTAGCTTCACCTGTAGTGCAGCGCAACAACCTTAGCCAACTTTGAGTTGAGGTTGAAACTTGAGAGTAATCATGGGTTCTTTCGAAATAATCTCCATTTTCCTTCTTGTCCTACTTTTCCCATCATTTCACCCCAAAGGTGGAGCTTCAGCATCTGCTGAAGAGGCTGCTGCACTTCTGAAATGGAAAGCCAGATGTCAGAACCAGAACAATAGCTTGCTAACTTCATGGAACCTTCAATCCATCAATGCTAGCAACTCTTCCAACCTTCCATGCACTTGGGCTGGTATTTCTTGCATTAATGGAAGTGTTAACAGGTTGAATCTCTCAGCATGGGGTATTAAAGGTAGCCTTTATGACTTCCCATTTTTGTCCCTCCCAAATCTTGAATATCTTGATCTCAGCCTGAACCAGTTCTTTGGCAGCATACCTCATCAAATAGGTAACCTGTCGAAGCTCATTTATCTTGATTTCTCAGTTAATGAGTTGTCACAAGAAATCCCACCAGAAATTTGCAACCTAAGAAACTTGATTCATTTAGCTCTTGTGCGTAATCAACTTTCAGGTCCAATTCCTCCAGAAATAGGAACTATGTATTATATTGTTGACATTTATTTGGAGTTTAACAATTTAACAGGTTCAATTCCAGCCTCTTTTGGTAACCTCAATAGGCTAGTTAACTTATACCTTTTCCAAAATCACCTATCTGGTCTCATTCCTCATGCCATTGGAAACTTGATTTCACTTCAGTCTCTTGACTTGTCTCAAAATTATCTTACCGGTTCAATCCCCGAGTCACTAGGCAATTTAACCAATTTGATTCATTTGTATCTCTTTGATAACCGACTCTCTGGTTCAATTCCAAAGAATTTAGGTGATCTTAAATTCCTTACGCACATGGAATTAGGTGAGAACCAACTTAGTGGTTCCATTCCTGTTTCAATTGGTAACTTGAGTAACTTGGAAAAATTATATCTTCTAAAAAACCAATTTTCTGGTACCATCCCACAAGAGCTTGGAAACCTGAAAAAGTTGTTAGTTTTGGAATTGGATCAAAATCAGTTATCTGGTCCATTGCCAGAACAACTATGTCAAAATGGAACCCTCCAAAACATTACTGTATCTGAGAACATGCTTACAGGTCCAATCCCCGGAAGCTTGAAAAATTGCTCAAGCTTGATTAGGACCCGTTTCAATGGGAACCAATTCCACGGTAACTTGTCAGAAATGTTTGGCATCTATCCCTTTTTGGATTTCATAGACCTCAGCAACAACGAATTCTATGGGGAACTCTCCAGCAGCTGGGGAAAATGCAAAATCTTGAGAACCCTGATGGTTGCAAAGAACAATATCACAGGTGGTATACCTCCAGAACTTGGAAATTTAACTCAACTACATACACTTGATCTTTCTTCAAACTTTTTATCTGGGGAGATACCAAGGGCAGTGGGGAAGTTGGCCTCTATGCTCGAACTAGATTTACATGACAACCAACTCACTGGCAGTATACCTCAGGAATTGGGAGCACTGACAGGACTTCTTTATCTAGACCTGTCCACAAACTCCTTCAATGGATCTTTTCCAGAACATTTGGGAGATTTGAGGAACTTGTTTCACATGAACTTGAGCAACAACGTATTAAGCCAAAAGATTGCATTCCAGATTGGGAAGTTGACCCAACTTTCTGAATTGGATTTGAGTCGAAATTTCTTCACAGGAGAGATACCATCTGAGTTCCAAAGTTTGCAGAGCCTAGGAACATTGGATCTCTCACACAATAACCTCTCTGGTTTAATCCCAAAGGCTTTAACCAAATTGCCGGGTTCATTGCACATCAATATTTCATTCAATAATTTAGAGGGTCCAATTCCGAGTGGTGGAGCCTTTGTGAATTTAACCATAGAGGAAGTACAAGGAAATAAAGGTTTGTGCGGGAATATTTCAGGGTTACAGGCTTGTGAAAGTTCCCCGTTGATTAAAAAGCATGTCAAGAATAAGGGGAAGAAAAAACTTGTTCTCACAATTTTAAGTCCTCTTCTGGGTTCATTCGTACTTCTTTGTGCATTCTTGGGTGGTCTCAGATTGCATGAGCAATGGAGAAAAAGTTCAGGAACGGAAGATATCGATATGAGCAAAGTAAATTTATTTTCCATATGTACTTATGATGGCAAAGCAGTGTATAAGGAAATAGTAATGGCTACAGAAGAGTTCAGTGACATATTTTGCATTGGTAAAGGAGGTTATGGAAGTGTTTACAAAGCACAGCTTCCATCAGGCGATGTAGTAGCTGTAAAGAGGCTTCACAACATGCCTGAGATGGCAAGTCATAAAAATTTGTTGAATGAGATAAGGGCCTTGACAGAAATCAAGCATCGAAACATTGTGAAACTCTTTGGGTTCTGCTCAAATTCTCAGCATTCATTTTTGGTATATGAGTACCTTGAAAGAGGGAGCTTGGCCAAAATCTTTAGCATAGAAGAAGAAGCTAAGGAACTAGACTGGCGAAAGAGATTAAAAATCATCAGAGGCATTGCTCATGCTTTATCTTACATGCATCATGATTGTTCACCAGCCATTGTACATCGGGACATATCAAGCAACAACATTTTGCTTGATCCAGAATATGAGGCTCACATTTCAGATTTTGGCACTTCTAAGTTTCTGAAAAATGATTCATCTAATTGGAGTTCTCTTGCAGGCACATATGGGTATGTTGCACCAGGTAATAAAGGTTTTTTCTTTCATCAATTTGCTAACTACTAAATTCAAGTATCATCACATGTTATCACAACATGATTTTCCAAAATTCCTTGCAGAATATGCCTACACAATGAAAGTAACTGAAAAGTGTGACGTTTATAGCTTTGGGGTCCTGACAATGGAAGTGATGAAAGGAAAGCATCCCGGTGACTTGATTGCTTATCTAATGTCTTCAAGCCCTGAAGAGATAGAACTGAAAGACTTGCTCGATCAAAGACTTCTGTATCCCAATGAAGAAATTGAAAACATTCTGGCATTCGTTCTTAAACTAGCAAGAGCATGTCTACATGTTGATCCGCAGTCTAGGCCAACGATGCTCTTTATTTCCAGGTTGTTATCGACTGGTGCATCGTCTGTGTAACATTTTGTGAGTAATCGTGGCCATATAAATCTTTTTTTTTCCCTTTTTTTGTTTTGTTTTGTTAAGTAAATAGATATAACAGATATGCAGAATCTGATAACTGTTTTTCTTTTTTTGTTTTTGTTTAGTGCCTACATTGCCTCCTGTCAGCTGCTGTGTCTCACAATTTTTCGTTTTCTTACATAGCACTATCAAGCAACAGCACAAGATGACATGATGATGAATATGGCAGAGTTTTTAGCGGCACAAGATTCTGCAAAAAAAAAAAAAAGTTATGGCTGCTGGCTATGTATTTATATAGAGGTGTAGTACAATGGGCTACTGCCAGTATCGAAGTCTTGAAATGTTCTGAGTTTGTATTTATTGTAAAAGTAATCTATTCATAGCTAGTAATTCAGTGGGTGAATTGATACGAAAAAAATATAAAAACAGTATGATGAACAAATAGAAACTTTGGGAAGTATAGGATACAATATCTTGAACTTATTTGTAATTTAAACTTCTAAAACTCTTTCATTATCCCCTTCAAAGCCAAACTTCATAGTTCAACTAGTCCACAACTTAGACTTTGCCTCCAAGTAATCTCATTATTTTTGTCCACTAATTGATTACTACTTTTTGATAGCAGCTGTTGACAAAAAGAATTATTTAAGAGGGCTGATATATATCACCAAAATTTCATCACAATTTATCACCGTTGACATGGATGTCCAAATATTTGCACCATATCTTAAACATGAGCAAAGCCACGGCTTCGCATTTCCTATATGCGCTTTTGTACTATTTAAGTTTATGTTTGAACAAAATCTGTGACTAAGATGCATTTTGTACTATTTAGCTAATTACTTTAAACATTTTGATCGTGTATACAAGTTCGGAGAGATATTCTGGTCCTGGTACCATATCCTTCGTTAGATATAAGCTCTCAGGGGAGTATATTTATAAATATCAACCAACAGTATGGTTATGTTAAATCAATGATATTATTCTAAAGGGAAAGCGACGATATGACTTAGCGACAAAAATAAATTCAAAGACAAGCCCACGTTCTTGATTTTAGAAATTTCATGTTTGTATTTGATTAAAGACTGTTTGATATTGATAGAGGACAAAATGTGGAAAGGAGATGAAGAATTGGCAATGCGGATGGAAATGTTGGGGAAGGGTAAATATCAACAAAGACTAGGGAGGGTTAGTTCAATTTATAACATATTTTAAGGTGGCGAAAACTAGTGCTAAATGGATTTATTTAAAAAGAAATAATACTTCGACATCAAGGAAATAGGAATTTCAAAATCTTGGGGCTACCACACCCATTCTCACATGGGCTAAAGTTCTTGGCAATTATGAGAGCAATGGCATTATGCAAATGATGGCCCTAAAATTTTATTATATTTTTGTTTGTTACTGTCTTAATGCCCGCAATTATTGTTTTAGTTCTTAAATCTAAGTATATACAACTCAAGTTGGTTCAATTGTTAAGGACGGATCACTTTCTCACAAAAGATTGTGTGTTTGAATCCTATTGCTGATATGAAAACTGAATTAATAAGCAACTTATATGAACCTCTGTAAACAACACTTATGATTCCGAAAATATATTATGACTCCTTGTAACTTAAAGACTTGGGTAGCTACATCATCATCAGGACCAAGTCTTTTAGACCTTTGCCAATACAAGGCCTAACATTTAAACTTTATAAAAATCACCACGAGTATCTGACCTTTACTAACAATTGCCTGCCATTAAAAATTTTGTTTGAAAACAACAATGACTTTTGTCGTCCAATATTACGTCAAGCTGATCATAAATGTTGGACCTTCGGGCACAAGGGCCCAGAATTCAACTTGTTTGAAACCAAACACAACTAATTTGATCTTGACGGGTGGACCTTTACGAGCAAGAGCCGAGAATTCAATTTGCTTGAAAATACACAAACACAACCATATCTGCTCCATTCTCATGCGTGGGAGTTGTAGACATGAAATAATATGCCATCACAAAATATAAAGACTCTTAGGTGATGAGTACATATATGCCAGTAATCTTTTTCTCTTTTTTTTTTCAATCATGAGTACCAGTAATCCATAAAAATGAAAGATGGACTTTTAGAACTATGAAGTGGGACGGACTTGTTCCAAGTAATCAATCGCTGTTGAAGGAGCGATTGATTGAGCTGAGATCAAGAAGAGAGAGAAAAATATAGCGACGAGAGCCTTGCCGTTGGTAGCTATTGTTTTTTATGGAGAAGGTTATAAGAAATTAATATTGGTTCTATTCTATTATCCTTTCTCGATTTTTTTCGTAAAAAAAATTGGGTAAAAAAAAAATTAGGTAGGTGTTATTTCGATTATCACCTCAGGTCATCATGTTCTCGAGAGCATGAATTGGTATAGGGATTCTTACAAATTATTTATGAATATAGTCCTTGCATCGACAATTAAATTAAAATATATAATTTTTTATGAGAAAATAATCCATCCTTAACAACTAAACTTAACTCGTGTTTGACTAGTGATAGTTGCATGTAATGAATCATACTTTTATAGTCGTTTACGACCGGACCGAGTTTCTCAACAATTACATTGACAATTGCCGTCTTAGGTTAGCAGTCCAAATGGGCTGAGCTAACATGGTCCTATTAGAGGGGTCAACTTGAAACTTCAATTAAATTGAGTGGCTCGAATTGGGTCATGCTGACATCTAATGTGGGACGCGAAGGATATGGAGCCTTTCTAGTTCTAATTCTCTCCAATTGTGTAAGCTAATAAAATTTTGATATAAACATAATTTATAATTGAATTGGTGCAAAACTCACGATTATACCAAAAATCTGTTAGTGTACACCAAAATTGTGCCAGTTTATTCAATTAGACGGCATTGGATGGTACCTCAATTGGAAAATCTTCGAATTCGAACGTAAACTACTCTCAGTAATTGCAATCGCTAATTGGACAAGGACCTTGAGACCCATAGTTAGAATAATTCTATACGAGATTCACGCACAGAAAAATAAAGGCATCATTGAATTCGAGACTCGTGTCTTTTGTTAAGGAGGTTGAGGGAAGGACGAGGATATTAACGGCTGAAAGCGTAGGATAATTAGTATTTGTTTGCCTTGCCACTTCTTGTTGGGTAAGAACTTGTGTTGTTTTGTTTGGAAGCACTGGTATTGTAATTTTTTGATAACGTGAAGGTGGATTTGCACTCCCTGTCCTTCTTTCTAACCCTCCCTCTTACCCCTCTTAGTGGTATGGTGTCCACAATAGTAATTTCTCAGAGTTTATAAAATATTCCCAAATGATGATGGTTTTTTAGAACTTCTTCTCAAAAGGTGAAAAATACATTCATTGAAAGGTCTGTTTGTTTGGAAGGAAATATTTTCCTGATTTTCTATTTTTTGGTTGGTTTATTGCTTTGGGAAAATTTTTTCCTGCCGAAAATATATTACACCAGATGGTGTAAAATGACTTCCTATATAAATGAACTGAAGTTATATTCCATGTCCTCTCGTATGTCGTAAGATTATCCATTCATGCTCCCCTATGAGTCTTAAGATTCAGAACAAAACCCACCACTTGTGCAATAGTCCACTAAAGATTTATAGTCTCCATCTCCTCCCAAACACCGGAAAAAACATGGAGAAGGTAATTATTTTCCTCGATAAAATTTTCCATGGAAGACATTTTCCGTTGAAAATATTTTACATTGAATCAAACAGACCCTGAATGCAAATGTTTTTCAAAACTTTCATTCATAATATACGTTCTTTAGATTGTCTAAGTTTTGAAAATTTCGTCCACACTTCATATATTGACCTCGTGCGTTCTAAACATGCGTCTTATCAATTGAAAGAATAAATATGTCCCTTCTTATTCCATCTTCCTTTTCCTGCACAACATTCCAATCCATGAAGAGATTCACTCACAAATTAAGTAGCAAAATTTCAATCCGTAGACCCATGAAACTCAATATTACAAATACGATCCTTTTTAATCCATCTTCCTTCCCAAAAGTTGCATCCATAAAATACGTTCTTTACTTTGTCTAAGTTTGGGAAAATTTCCTCGTATCTCCACTCCATATTTGACTTGCACATTTCGAACCTGTCTTATCAATTAAGAGGATAAATATGATACTGCTTAATCCATCTTCCTTCTTTTATACAACCTTTCAATCCATAAAGAGATTCACTTACAGAATAGCAAATTTTCAATTTGTGGAACAACTCTTCTTAATTCATCTTTTCTACTGAAAAGTTACATTCATAAAATACGTTCTGTAATTTATCTAAGTGATAAGAGTTTATTTTACGTATTTTTAAGTGCATTTTATTAGTTAATTTTGAGTTGATTATTTAGTTTTATAATTAAAATAAAGAGGTTTTTGGTAAAATTATATATTTTTGGTAAAAGTGGATAATATTGCATTTCTATTGATTTTAATGGTAAAAACTTCATTTTTATGCAGGAATGATGATTCAATCACCAAAGGATGTCAAATGAGGTAAAAAATAGAGATTTGGTGATGAATTTAAGTGGTGAAAAGAAAAATGAAGTGAAAAACGTTCAAGTGAGGAAATGCAATACAAGTCAGTTTTGACACTCTTCAGTATTTTGACCATATCTGGAGCTACACTTATCGGATTGAGGTGATCTTTATACCATTTTAAAACTAAGAAAGAGACCTACAATTCGTATGAAGACATCGAAATCCATTTCTGCCATATTCATGGGCAAAACGTTGGAATACAGAAGCTGCATTCTGTGGTCGGAAGTTAAAACAGAGGTTTGAACAGGTGACAGTATTTCGATCATATCTCAGGCTACAAAGCTCCGATTTGGATGATTCTAGAAGCATTGGAAAGATAACTCAAAGGGCTACAACTTTTGTGTTTTGCACAAAAGCTAGTTCGGCCTTTATGATAGAGAAAATCGCAGATGAAGTAAGGCCAAAGTGAATACGCGAGTACACAAAACGTGACTTGTAACCGCGTTTTGTGTAGGCGCGTTTTATAGCCGAAATTCTGCAAATTGACTCAGCCAATTCTCTTGTGTTCATACCACTTTCCAGCTATAAGATGCAAGGGAATTCGGTGCACATGCTTCAGAAGACAAAAGGGCAAGAAAAGTGGCTTATTTTCAAGTCAAAAATATTGGTTTTTGACTATGCTAACAAAGTGGAGATTTGGGAATCAAAGGAGAGAATTTGA